ATATATACGATATATACATATACGTATATACATATACACATATACATACCTATATATTCATACATACACATATATATACATAAATACATACATCAATATACATATATATATATACACATATATGCATATACATATATAAACACACACATACATACACACACACACACACACACACACATACATACATACATATTATTTAATCACTTTATTATATACTCCTGTAATATTTTTCTTTTTTAAACCGGCCTCTGGCTGGAGGTTTAAACTCACCCCTCATGCTGACATCCAGTGGATTCAGTCCAGCTGCAAACACTTTAACAATCACCTCATTGGGATAGTTGATAACGGGGAAGCTGGCGTTATTTGTGAAGCGCAGCACATCATTGCTTCCATACTTATCAATAACCCAAGCGGGCATCACTGTCATGGCTCTGCTGGAGCTCCGGATCAGTCTACATGGGTGTCTGAGCCAAGCAGGGAGTCTGTGTTCAGGGACGGATTTACTGAGGTTTAACAGCAACCTTCTGTTCGTCAGATATCTAACAGAACTCATGTCTCTATAGAAAATAAAATGCTCCGTCTTCTAAAAAGTCAGGCAGGTCTAAATTAGTTAGTGGTTAACAAATCTACGTTCTTACCGACGACATCTAGTGTTAATAAAAAGCATGCTTGGTATTTAATATATAAAAGACAGAGCAATTCGAATGTTTTAACAATTTCAACACAACGTCCTATTCTTTACTACTTCACTTCCTCTTCCCGGCACGACCGGCGCCTCCACCAATCAGAGCGCTGCTTGTTCAGGAGCCCGCCAATCACATACAGCGCTGTTAGACGTTGACAGGAGACGCAAACATGGCGGCTCCCTGATGTAACACAACTGTGGAAATGTTGTTCATTTGAAGGGTGACCAGAGAAAAGCAACAAACATGCTCGGTCTGACTTTAAAAGAGGTTAGTGTGACCACTTGGCGGTTTCTGTTTAATATAAGATCAACATTATTAAATGTCGTGGTCTGTAAGATATTCGAATATCAATATTAGTTCAATATTATAGTATCTAAAACAACAAGATGTATACTAAATATAAGGAAGACGCAAAGGGACGCCTTCTGGATTTGATTGGAATTGAATATAATAAAACATGAAAGTTGGTTAATTATTACAGACTGTGTTCTTAAATAAAAAGATGTTGTAATAGAAAAAAACTAACAGAATGCTAGCTTTAACAGCTTAAACAGCTCACAGCGGCTGTCAGGCATGGTGGTGGCTGTGTGATGATAGATGCGCCATTACCAGAACTATAATTCTAATTATGGACAGCTTTGGTGTAAAACTAGAATACAAAAATGGTTTGGCCTTGAAATGATTCCTAGAAATAAAAATTTGTTGTTTCTTAGAGAGAAGTATTTGCTTACCTGGTCAAATCATTGAATTTATCATTTTTGCTCTATTGCTGACTACTTTCTCAAGACCTGGCTACTCCTAGGGGGGCTAGAATTAACTATTAGGCATGTTATTTAAATGTTGAAGTGATTGGGAAAGACAGGTACTCAGCTATGAAAGCTGGGAGCTTGATTGGATGAGTTTCCATTGTTCACTGTGTAACAGAAATCCTCGGGTGTCTTAGTGGAAAAGAAGAGAAATGCTACTCCACAGTATAAAGTATAAATGTTTTCTTTTTTCAGGTGTCTGTGGCTTTCAGGGAGGGAAAGATCTCACCTACTGAGCTCTGTAAGAAGTGTTTGAATCGCATCAAGAAAACCCAGCATCTGAATGCTTACATCACCGTTACCGAGGAGCTATCCCTGAAACTGGCTCAACAGTCTGAGGCGAGGCTGCGTCAAGGTGTGGATACGTTTAGTGTTTATCTCAGGCTGTTCTAAGGGGAATAAACTACAGGTGTTGATGTTTGAAAGTCTTTTATTTTAAGGTGTCTCCAGAGGTCCGTTGGATGGGATCCCTTTTGCAGTCAAGGACAATTTCTGTACTAAAAATATCCGGACGACATGTGCCTCTAAGATGCTGAAAGGTAAAAGGATATGATGTTTTGTTTAAAATATATTTAGTGTCTAACAATGTATGATAAAAATATCACGCTTTATACAGGCTATTCTCCACCTTACAACGCTACAGTTGTGCAAAAGCTTCTTGACCAAGGGGCCGTTCTAATGGGAAAGACTAACATGGATGAGTTTGCGATGGGGTAGGTTGTTTACTTCCAAGGCTAACTCTGTAAAGCAAATTGATTTTTGATTGGTTTTGTTTTTGTACCAAACACTATGAGTGTGTTTGTTCTTCTCTCAGTGCAGGCAGTACAGACGGAGCATTTGGCCCAGTCAGGAACCCGTGGAGCTACGCAGCTTCGTATAGAACACAGACGGGGGCAGCTCCCGACTCAGACTGGGTCATCACCGGAGGAAGCTCAGGGGGAAGCGCCGCAGCTGTCGCCTCACTCACAAGCTACCTGTGAGGAAAAACACAGCGAAGCTAACCAAGGAGAAAAAGTCAAATATTGACACTTTTTGCACATCTTTTTTGCAGGGCTTTGGGTTCAGACACAGGTGGTTCAACCCGTAATCCCGGAGCGCTGTGTGGCGTTGTTGCCCTGAAGCCCACTTACGGCCTTGTGTCAAGGCATGGTCTCATTCCCCTGGTCAATTCCATGGATGTTCCTGGAATTATGACACGCAGTGTCAATGATGCTGCGATTGCTCTGGGTCAGAAACATTTATTTTTGTAATTTCATTGTATAAAATTTGTATAAAATTTCTTTGATTCGTACTAGGGCTTCAGGAAGTTATGAACACTTCACTGAAATATTATCGTAGAATATAAAAAAAAAATGTACTTCCTTTTAACCTACTTTCTACCACTTCCTGTGAGCTTTAGCATCTAGGCTACTTAAATGTGTACACCAGAAGACTAAAGTAGTAAACTTTGGACCTAAAGAAAGGTATTCAAAAGTTTTCACACAGCTCCATTTAATACAGCTGGAAACCACTAATTCGGCTCTAAATGTAGTGATGGACTCAGACCGGAACCTTCAGGGGCACATAAAGGCAGTAACAAAGTCGGCCTTTGTCTAAAGAACAGGACTGATGTCTCCACTGGATCTTGACAAACCAATTAATCCATTTATCATTAATAGAATTGATAACTGTTACAATGTCTTCACAGGTTTGAATAAAAAGAGGATCAGACAGCTGCAGCTCATCCAGAATGCTGCTGCACACATCCTGACCAAAACGAAAAAAGTGAAGTGCATTGCCCCAGTTCTAAAATCGTTTCACTGGCTCACCGTCTCTGAGAGAACAGACTTTAAAATACTTCCGTTATTCTATAATCACTGAATGGTTTAGCTCTAAAATGCACCACATACTTTTCAGTATATCTACGGCCCAGACTTCTGGCCTGAATCTAATCTGCATACCCAGAACTAGAACAAAACATGGAGAAGCAGTGATGAGTTCTTCCTCTCCTCCAGCCAATTGACTAGTAAAATTAGTGCATGTGAAATTTGGAGCTTGTACATGTACACATGGATAAGCGGTTTGTAACACAATACAAGAGTTGAGAAATGACCAACTTTTGTCACTATCGCAAGACTAAAAATCCATCAGTTAGCAATTCACTGACAGACCATAAATTAGATAAGAGTTCACTTCAGTCTGCAGTCTGCAACCACTTCCAGCATGGAGCCAAATATTTCTGCTGTGTCAGATTTTCCATTATTATTATTATTTTTCAGCTAATTTAGGTAAAATCTTCAGACTCTTCATTCTTTTCCGTCTCAGGCTGCTTTAAAAGAATCAGAATTAGTCCAGTTTCATTACTTATCCTATTTTATTCTCAACTGCCACTATTGCTCTTTTTGTCCCCATGTGTTTGTTTTCAGGGCGTTGTGTCACCATCCTGTATTAATATGCCCATTTGAATTTCAAACTTTAGTCTTTTAATCATTTTTATATGTCTTTTGTTTGCTTAAAGTCATCAAAACCATATTATTAAGAGTATTAATTAAAGATTTGTCCATAAGCTAATTATACTCATGCTCTGTGTTTGTTGCTTTTTTAATTAGCTAGCTATCAAACAGAATTTAGCTCAGCCCTTTTGTGTCCATATTGATTTTAGAGCAAGGTTTTTTTTAAGATGTTTTAACATAATTAACGTAAATCAAAAAAATTGCTAATGATTGCGCCAACAACTTCAGTGTGTAATTAATGATTACAGATTATTCATAAGAAAAAAAACAGCTGGTATGATGGTAACGTTAGCTAAGAACACCAAAAAAAATCCCTAATATATCTATAGCAGGACTAAAATAAAGCAGATGAAACCTAAAATTGTGTTTCCATGTCATATAGGTGTCCTTCAAGGCATTGATGTTCGAGACTCAACCACAGTTCCTGCTCCATCAGCACTAACAGAGCTTCCTGAAGACTTTGATGTCAGGAACCTCCGTGTTGGCATCCCCAAGGTGAGTTGATGTACCCGTTTCCCTTTGCTATCTCCCTCAGCTGCTCTGGGTAGGAAGCTTTTATCTACTTATCACCACTGCTGACCTGATATCAAACGGATCTCTTTTAGAGCAGAGCTACTTTTACCTGTAGGAGCATGGGAACAACTCAGAGGGCCAAATATGTAAACAATAGTGATGCATTATTTTGGATTGCGTTTTGGAAAGAAAATAGATGGACAATTATGATCATCATAGTGTTGATTACTGGGGGGGAAAAAAGGCTTATTTGTTTTTTTGTTCATTAAATCGGTTCATCCTTTCTGCACCAACGTTGTAGCACATTTTTTGGTTGAGAAAAAAAAGAGTCAAGTGATTTACCATAAAGGTTTATTCATCAAAATAATCGATTCATCAATCTGTTCCTTAACTTTTCAACCTTTTGCCACATTTTATGCTTCAAACATTAAGATATAAAATTGTAATTGTTTGTGAAGAGTCAACATCAAGAGGGACAAAATCATAAAGTTAAACAAAACTTATTGGACTTTAAAACATTTTTAAAAGATGGGAAAATGAATAGCAGGGCATGCTTATTAATCGGTTCCTTTACTTTCAGTGCAGCAAACTCTTTCCAGATGTTCAGAGAGAATCTCTGAATGATCCAATGTTGACTTAAGTGACTGATGATAAATAGAATCCACCTGTGTTTCATTAAGTCCATATAAATGCACCTCCTTTGTGATCGTCTCAGTGCAGAGAGCATCTTGGAGAGCAAGGAACACACCAGGCAGGTCAGATTTGTATACAAACATATTTCCCAAGCTTTAAACATCCAAAGGAGCACTGTGTAAGAGATAATATTTAAACAGAAGGAGTATCAGACTACTGCAAAGCTACAAAGACCCGGGCTTCCCTTTAAACTTTAAGCTTAAAAAAGGAGAAGACTGATCAGAGATGCAGCCAAGAGGCCCATGATCAGTCTGGATGAACTGCAGAGATCTACAGCTGAGTTGGGAGACTCTGTTCATAGGACAACAATCAGTCATATGCTGCACAAATCTGTCCTTTAGGTAAGAAAGCCATTCCTTAAAGATAACCATAAAAAGCCTTGTTTAAAGTTAGCCACAAGCCACCTGGGAGACACAAACATGTGGAAGAAGGTGCTCCAGTCAGATGAAACTAATTGGAAGATGGATGGAGCAAAAACAGGACTATTCTGGAAGAAAACCTGTTGGAATATGCAAAAGATCTAAGACTGGGATGGAGATTTATCTTCCTAAATGCAATGAGCCAAAACATAAAGCAAAATTTAAAATGGAATAGTTCACAAATAAACATATCTAGGTGTTAGAATGGCCTAGTCAAAGTCCAGACCTGAATCTAATCCAAAATCTGTGGAAAGAACTGAAAACTGCTATTCACAAACTCTCCATCCAACCTTACTGAGCTCCAGCTGTTTTGCAAGGAAGAATGGGCCAAAATGTCAGTTTCTCTATGTGCAAAACTGATAGAGACATGCTTCAAGCGACCTGCAGCTGTAATTGCAGCAAAAGGTGATGCTATAAAGTATAAACTCAAGGGGACTGAAACCCAAATATTCAGTTTTTTATTTGTTAAAGTTTAAAATTCCAATACACTTTGTTAAACCATCATTGTGTCCCAGTTGTTGATTCCTGTCTATAAATTACAATTTTATATGTATGATAAATGACCTGTACTTATATAGCGCTTTTACAAGTCAGAGGACTTGACCAAAGTGCTTTACACTACAGAAAGGAGGCTGCCTTACGCTGGCGAAACCAGTCCCTCTGACCACAATCAGTAGGCAATGCAGGTGAAGTGTCTTGTCCAAGGACAAAACAACACCGAAAGCCGGAGCAACAACCAGAGGGTTGTTTGTTCAAGTCCATATCCGGCCCATCATCACTACAGACCTGTTATCAAGTGGATCTGTGTTGATATCATATCCGTCCCACATCTTTATGCTTGAAGCCTGAAATGTGGCAAAAGTTCAAAGCGTCTGGATACTTTAGTAAGGCACTATATATAAATATATATATATATTTATGTTTGTTTATGGTCAATGAGTAAGGTACTCTAATTTTTCTGGGATACTTTGTATTTTTAGTACCTTTTTTGTTTTTTTTTACTTTATCAGTTTTGTGTTCGTTTAAAATTACTAGTGTGAATTTATCATTAGCTTTAAAGGGAGGGGATGTGAATGTTCTCAACCGTATTTAAAGCCTGTAATTCCCCTTATTACAATGATGTAATTGAAAACTTGAGTCAGAAATTGTTTACGTTTGAGGAACCGATACGAACTCTGACTTCAGTCATATATACAGTATACCTTGATATACTGTATATATATTGTTTATTCTAAATGCACCTTTTTCCTCCTTGTTTGCACCTTCTTCTTTAATCACTATGCCACTATGTGACCAGTGAATTTCTCCACTGTGAGATCAAAAAAGCTCATCTAATCTAATCTAATCTAATTTACCATCGTCCTTCAGGAGTACCATGCCCCCGGCCTGTCGGAGGAGACCCTGGCTCAGTGGAGTCGTGTTGCAGATTTGTTTGAGCGAGCAGGAGCCCGGGTGGAGCAGGTTTCCCTCCCACACACCCAGTACTCCATCGTCTGCTACCACGTCCTTTGCCACGCTGAGGTGGCGTCAAACATGGCCCGATTTGATGGGCTGGAATACGGTACAAACTGAGCTGTTTGGAAAAAGATGTGACCTGAGTTTACATCCAAACTCTACAGGCACACCGTGTGATGGGGGTAAAGGTTGTTCTGTGTTTTATTCCTTCACCAGGCCACAGGAGTGAGATGGAGAGCTCCACAGAGGTTATGTATGCTTCAACCCGACACGAGGGCTTCAACGACGTAGTCAGAGGGAGGATTCTTTCTGGAAACTACTTCCTGCTGAAACAGTAAGAGGGCAGACTGTTTTCAGTTTTCTGTTTTGATTTGACTCCACAGCCTTCCTGTTATTTAGAGTGTTCTGCTATCAATGGGTTAAAATAGCAACGGACTTGTCACACCTTCTAGAAACTACCAGCACTACTTTGTGAAGGCCCAAAAGGTCCGCCGACTGATCACGGAGGATTTCCGGCAAATTTTCAACTCAGGGATTGACGTGCTGCTGACTCCCACCACTCTGACTGACGCAGCCCGTTACCATGATTTCACACAGGAAGACAACCGTACACGCAGCGCACAGGAAGATGTCTTCACCCAACCTGCAAACATGGCAGGTATGGAGTCATCCACCCCCGAACCCAAAACCCCAACCGCCAAAATGGCTGCATGAGCAGGAAGTGTGGGACGGTTTAACGCCTCCTATATTTCAAACTGAGGAAACGGAGGAAAGAGTTTTAGTGAAAGTGTTTGTAGCCATAAAAACTTTGCAGCATGGAACATGAAAACAAGACTGAGAAAGATGGATGAATCTAAATATACGAACATCCTGGAAACAAATCTGTTAATAATTGATAATAAAAAAATAACTTTATTGATCTCACAATGGAAAAATTCACCTCTGCATTTAAACCATCCCCTTGGGGAGTAGGGGGCTGATACTGTACGACGCCTGGGGAGCAATCAGGGGTTAAGGGTCTTCCTCAGGGACCCAGATTGAAGGTTGTGGGGATCGAACCAGGTACTTGCAACCTTCTCAGAGCACAAACGCACTGCCCTAACCACTAGGCCAACACTCCAAGGAGTTAGAAGCTTTAAAAGACAAGATGGAAGCAGAGGTTCACTCTCCAGCAGGATAAATATATACATTCACAAAGCAGCAAAATAATATTTCAGATAAGAACTTGTTCAGGTGTACAGTGGCTCAGTGGTCCGAGTTTAACAGCAAGTCGGCTATAAGACTCCAAAGCCGTTGTTCAGGTCCTAACTGTTGCATCCGCCTGAACTCTAGTTATTCTACAATAATAATATCCATAAATATCAGTTGGTTTTTAAAGGCATTTAATACACAACAGTCAAATTGTGAAATTGAATGGGACCTAATACAGTTCTCCATCTGTTTAAATACAGGCCTCCCTGCAGTCACTGTGCCAACTGCCCTATCACAACGAGGTCTTCCCATTGGCTTACAGCTCATCGGCCCCGCTCTGGAAGACAAGAAGCTCCTGTGTGTCGCTCAGTGGGTGGAGCAGAGGGTTGGCTTCCCATCCATCAGTGACTTCCATAACTCACAGGAGAGCAGGAATGAGGCAGGAGTGTCCAGAAGGGAGCAGACTTCAGCTGTTTGAGGAGAATTTTGTAAAACCACTCAGACTTTAACAACTTCGTATCTTATGTCCATATAGGATGTATTATGAGAAGTTCACAAATTACAGATGTTTTATGATGATAATAAATGAAGTTCAACATGTAAAAACCTGACTGGTCTTTAAAAAGAGGTGACAAAGGGGATTTATGTTGCATCACTTCCTGTTAAAAATAATGTAATTCTTTCTTAACTGCTTCATAATTAAAGTATCAAAGCTTTTATTTACTCTTTAGAGTTTATTTGTATGCGGCTGATGAGAAACTATATGTCTTCTTTATGAGTAGTTTTATTTTTTTAGGCAGAATAAAATTTCCAAGTTGGCTGCTCAGTGGCACAGTGGATAGCACTACTGCCTTGCAGCGAATAGGTTCCAGGTTCGATTCATGGCCCAGGGTCTTTCTGCATGGAGTTTGCATGTTATCCCTGAGCATGCTTCGGTTCTCTCCGGGTACTCCGGCTTCCTCCCACAGTTCAAACATGACTGTTAGGTTAAATTCTCCTTAGGTGTGAGTGTGTGTGAATGGTTGTTTGTCCTGTTTGTCTCTGTGTTGCCTTGCGATGGACTGGCTACCTGTCTAGGTTGTAACCCACCTCTCGCCCGTAGACAGCAGGAGATGGGCACCAGCACCCCTCGCGACCCCGCTTGGGATACGCGTGTCAGAAAATGGATGGAAATTTCAAAGTTTGGTCTTTTTGGCATTAGTGGCCTTTATTTTCCAATGAGAATTGACAGGAAATATGGTTGAGAGTTGAGGAAGACTGGCAGTAAAAGTCATTTCAGTTTAATTTTCAAACTGAAGACAGGCCTAATGTCACACTGCTGTCAGACCATTTAAATCCAGCAATGATTTAACATTAAAATGCACTTCCTCCATTGATTTCCACTGAAGAATAACTATGATAAGCATCTTTGAGTTTTCTATTAACTTTCTAAGCATGTTGATATGTAAGTAAAAACACAAAACCTGTATAATTTACTTCCTGGGAAACGTGTTATTTTCAGAATGCAAATATGTGTTTGATAACCTGTATGAAGCAGCAAACAAATAAGGCTTCTGCTTTTTCGGAGCACACAATAATGCTCTGTGGCAGGTATGAATGAACAGTAGCTGTTAATTCGATGGAATCTTTTTCCACTTATGCAGCATTACCCTTTGTTTTAATACCACTATAATGATATAAAACTCGATAAGAATTGGTTTGAAATGAAGTCTCTGTCTATCCACCCTTGAGCAAGTATGATATGGTAATAATGTATGATATCATTGATGTTCAGCAATAGTTTTGCTCTTGTATTTTGGCTAAATACAGCACAAAGCGGAAGCCTCGTAAGCTTCCTGTTTAAAGTTCTGATCTCACCCACAGTTTGCCTTTACTGGTGTCTTTCTCAAGCATCTAAATGCAAACCATACACGTCACCTAATCCTCTTCCTGTTCCAGGAATCATTAACCATGTCAGACATTTTTTTGTTTTTATAAATGGACGAAATCCAAAGAAGATCATGTATTTTCTCCATGGTTATAGTAAGTCATGTTTATTTATATAGCACCTTTCACAGACATAGAGTTCACAAAGTGCTTCACAAATTAAATACAAATAAAATAAATTTACAGTCACAAAAGACATGGTCATAAAAAATGAAATAGTCTAGAAACCTGTACTTAACAAAATATATTTTTCAAAATAAAATCTGTCTAAGTCTAAAACAACCCATAATCTAGTGGAATGATAATGTGCTGTTGCCCAGGTTTCGTCGTCTCTCCTGTTTGCGTTGGGTAACGCCCTTTAGAACAACACATTCAAAGCGCATTTTCTCTCAAGCAGAAAGCAATGGGTGGAAAGGCATTTTTCGCACGACATAAAAGAACACCTTTTTAAATGAAGGTTATGTTGCAAAATGCTGTTGAGATACTAATTTAGGGATAGGTCCAACAAATCTGTGTACAAAAGATAATTGTAATTAAAGCCATCTTTTCCTCCTGCTGGTAAACAACATAGGATCAGAAAGTGTGCAGCATATTTTATATCTTCTACAAAGTGTTTTCCCCCATATAAAGCTCATTTAGGGACATTTTGCTCATTTACATTTGACTAACCTTTTGAGAAAAATGTAGATTCTGCAAAAACTACAGTTTATGATGAAAGGGAGACTTCTGTATACTTTTACATTTTTATATTGTTGGTCTAATCACAATTTTCCTTTATATTAAGTCAGATGTTATATGATATCTTGAGAGGAATTTCTGGGTAATCTACCCAACACCCCTGATATATATTGAACTTCTTTTCATGTAGACTATTGGTTTGTTAAGACAGAATTTTAAGGCCCTGAGGTTGACATTTTTTCAGCCCCTTGATGGTATATTTGGAGCAAGAAGTGACTAAGTTTATGATCCTGAAAGCTGAGCTAATCTTTAAGAACTTTAGGGTCTCTGTTCTCTTTACAAAATTTATTTTTTATTTTCAAAATGATATATTCTTAACTTTAGATGACAGGGAATATTCATAGCCCTTGTTTTTGCATTTGTCCATGGTAGAGTTAAAAAACTTAATGTATCCTTTAGGGGTTTTTATGGGATAATAATTGTGAAGTGAAACAAAAATGAAGGTACTTTGTTACAAAAGAAAATATCCAAAGTATGGCGTACTTACTGTAGTACCGGTAGTAGTATAGTAGAGAAGCCCAGATGCTTTGGGTTTAGGTCTGTACTTTAAGCATTTTATTTAATATATGTATGTGCGATTAATATATGTATGTGATAAAGAAAAGTATCCCGCAGCATAAGCTGCTGAGACTGTGTTTCACCACAACGATGATGTGGTTGAGGGGATTTTTGACGTTGGCTTTCCTCCTCATACAGCAGTTGCTGCTTTGTGTTCCTTTATCAGGTCAATTCAAGAGATAATGCATGATGTTTGAGGTTTGCGGAGACGTGGTGCAAAAAGGAAATACTAAATGCTGTCACTGTGCATGGGTGGATCCTTTTGTAGGTCTTTACCCATTGTACAAATAATAGTCTCTGAACTGACATGAGTTGTAGGTGTACATCATGGCTAGTCTTTAAGCTTTATTGGCTCCCTCTCTTTGGTATACCTTGGAACTCATAACCCTAAACAGGCAAGCATATTTATACTAGATTGGAACTCATGCTTAAAACAGGCCTGTGCCAAACCAGACACTATGTGGACACACATGTAAATGATTTACCCTGTTTAGAATTAACTGATCACTGATGCCTTGTACTACTGAAGAGATATTTACATATTTACAATAAGGTGATTGGTGAAAAAGCAAATCCATGGTGACCACTTTCCCTTTAAACAGACATACGCTTCCCACTATTTCCATTTCTGTGTTTGGATCTGCTTAACATGGAAATATGTTTTTGTTGGTGCGTCATTTCTGTCTAAATGTTCACATGGTAAGCTTAGGATATATGTTTTTTTTACAATATTTTTTTCTTTCTGTGAAGCACTTTGGTCTTCCTGGTGGTGTTGTTAAGTTCTATTAACAACAATTAAACTTTGATTAATTCATTCATCTGATTTTTTTTTTTAAATCTCATCTTATTCTATCTTAAACTTTGAACTGGAAGATATTTATTCCAAGTTTGATCAAATTTAATGTGTTATTTCTGGAGGGAAAAAGAAAACAGAATAAACTAAAACCACTCTTCCTGTTTTGTTGTCACCAACATTTGTTACAATAAGTTTCATTGTAAACACATTTAGCTGATACCAATAAATTTGTTTTGCACCACTAAAGAAAATCCAAGGACCTCCATGATTTATGCCAAAGTAGATAAATGGGTTAAAATGTTCCAAAGTGTAGACCTAAATCTAATTGCAATTTGTGACTGGATTTAAACATGGCTCTCCCCATCCAATCAGGCTGAGGTTGAGGTATGCTAAAGAGAAAGATAGTTTAAAAGTTAAAAAGATTTTTTTTAACGAACCTGCTGTAATGCTATGCTCCTTACGCGTCTTTTAAAACATCAAAGGCTAAATAGATTTTCTTTTTGTTTTTCAAAGAACAAACATCAGTCTTTGGGCCTCATTGTGTTAAAGTCAGATTGTGCAACTTTCCTTTCTTTATGCACAACTAACTTTCCTCTTATAATAGGTGAAGATGGGTGTGGTAGACCAGGTTGTGGTCAGATGTATCGGTTAAGCTCTTAGTTCTTACTAGTTGATCTTTCTAATGATAAGGCCTTATTAGGTACATGCACATCAATTGTCTCTCAGGTGCTGAAGTACTGAATATATATTAGCTGGTTATAATTATTTGAAAAAGATAATATTATTAATAATAATAATAAAAAAGGAAAAAAAAGAAGAATCAAGCTTTCAGAGATCTAAGTCCAGCTCTACAAATAATTACAGTAAAGGCAGCCAGGTATTACTGCTGCTGAGGGACAGCCGGTCAGTATTAAGTCTGATTAGCTCTATAAAAGCAACAGCATGTTCAATAAGCAGGTCTGAAAGAAAAGCCATTAGTCTAAAAGAAACATGAGTGAAATTAGTCAGTGCAGTAAAACGTCATGTAACTGAAATAAAACTGAAGGAGCTACAAGGCAGGAAGTGAAAAACATGAGCCCAGAACTAGGCAAGGAAAAAAAAAAAAAACACCCAAAGTCGAATACTGCACAAGAGCAAGATGTGGTGAAGCAACCCATATTTGATAAATACACAGTGCAGATGTGCTAATGAGAAAAGTGAATTGGAGAGAGAGGGGATCGGGTACTTTCATCTTCTTTATAAGGAAGCTGTTCCAGGGAAACAAAACAAGGGCACAAGAAACAAAAGATTGATGAGGAAAAGAAAAAGAAATAAGGAAAGGGGAGATCAAAAAACATAAAAAACTGATTAGATAAAAATAATGATAATGGAAGAGAATCCATGTCATTCAAGACTAGTTTACAATGGATTAGAATTTGGGCATTAAACCTTTTAGGAGGCCTGGTATAAACATAAAGACTTTATATGGAGAAATACTTCATGCCAGCTAGTAAATAAGCCCAGGCATAAGTGATGCTGTGGGCTGTTTCTCCCCCAAAGACGATAGGAACCTTTTTTCAGTAGAAAGATCATGTGCAATCTAAAACTTCAGTGCTTATTAAACATAATCTGGTGACTTTCATCAATCTTTACCCCTAAACAGGATACAAGCTTTATATAGGTGGTTATTCATCACTCTACCAAAGATATTTTGACT